CGAATGAAAAATTTTATCAAGAATCAATCAGATTTACGAGGCAAATGTCTTCTTTTTTTTCTATTAAATTGGATCAGTCTAAAGAAAAATAATCTAGTTCATTGACTTAAATCATTCATCCAAATTGTAAAATAAATTATTCATAACTAAAATATTCAATTCTATTCTTTATTTTATCACGAAAAATTTCTTTCAAGATCATCAATAATCATAAAACTCATGGTTAATCATTACAAAAAATTAGATTTGTTATAAAAATTATATAAATTCACGTTTCCTCTGTAAGACAGATAGTATCTATTCTCATTTTTGAAGATGAAAGAAATGATCTTATACCATTTATACTAATAAATCTGACCGTTATTACATATCAATAGACATTAGATATCATGGTGCTGTAATTCTAGTAATCATTTTCACTTTTTTCTTTTAAACACTAAACATACTGCCCTTGTCTTATGATCAAATTGAAGATAGAGGAGCACAGTATTTGGGTGATGCTCTAAAATTCAATCAAGTTACATTTCCGAATGATCTCTCTCATAAGCACGAGACACAGCCAAAGTCTTTTTTGCTAATCGTTGATTCACATTTAATCAACAGAATAGTTAAAAAATTCAATTAAAATGGATCAGGATATATCTATTGATAATTTGCTGAAGAATATGTTGCATTGTTTTAGTGTTATTGAATAGAATTTCACAGAATTGAAAATTGAATTTTGAAAGGATAAAAAAATCACATAAATTTAAAGGTTTAGAATTTACAACCTTTTGAAAGGTAGAAATATATATTAAACTGATCAGTATTCGAAAACAAATGGAAAAGAAAATTTCAAATATGTGGGTTTTATAGTGTTCTATAATTCTCAAAATAAAATCATTTCTGTTATTTTTTTCATTATCGAAATTTCCACAATGACGTGAATTTCAATCATTTTCAATATAAATCAGTTCAAAAAGTATTCGAATAGCCAAAACTACTCATAAATTTCATCAAAATCGATTTTGATCGAGGTAAATCTGAATTGCATGGGCTTTTCAAGATATGTTGAATCCGTAGTGAAAGGACTTATGGTAAAATTTTCATCTCTGTGATATGACGTTTGTGAAAGATATTGATGAAACAAGAGGAAGAAACAATTCATTTGGTAACTAAAAATTCTCTATGGATCTTCATTAGATATTATTTAACTTCCCTTTTATGTTTAAAAGAACAAATCAGGATGCAGAGCATGACAAAATCAATATTTCTTAATTCTTGGTTTTTAAGTGGACAAAAATATCTCACATGATTCTGAAAAACATAGAGATCATTTTTCAGTTACCCCACTTGTCCTCTCTTTTCTTCGTTTAGAAAACAAGAAAAGGTCTTTACCATGCCATGTATTCCTGGTATACTATTTCAAACAAAAAGAGAATTTAATAATATGTCATGAAGATCTATAGGAAGTTTAAGATTGCCATAGGAACTGTTTTTATACTCTTGTTTCGTGAATATTTCTCATGAAAAGAAGATNTGATTTCATATCATCATCACATTTTAATCAGACTTCAAAAATACATTCTCTCAAAAACCTGATAATTATGCAAAATATTGAATGTGCTTAGTTTCCATGATATTATGTTCACATACCAAAACTGAATATCTTAAAAATCGATTATCTCAGTCCAGGCTCGCTATGGGGACGTAATATTTTAAATTTGTTAGTTTAGCAGTGAGAGTGTTAATTTGACCCGGGCAAGACCCCTCAACTCGATTAACAATTGAGACGGTTCCATTGTTAGTGTGAGTCATCATCATCCTTATTATCAGATATTTTTATTGTATTTCGTTTATTTCGTTTCGAATGAAATTAAAATAATAAATAGGTCATTCATACGTTTGTCTTCTTCATGCTTTAACTTGTTCGCGCTTTAGTTCAATCAGAAAAGTTTCAAATGGTCTCAGTTATGAATGACATCTAATTGAACTACAAATGCATTCTCTAGCAGATTGCTTTTCTCAAATTTCACAAGAAAAAGGCAACGATTGAGATAACATAAACATGAATGACATTGATTTTTTCTAACACAACCTATATAATCTCTGTACCGTATGCATTATCTAGAAGGAAATACGTAATAAATTCATGGCTTTTATTTCTTATCTTCAAGTCACTAGATAATCCGGATTTGAGCATGCTCAATTGAACAATTGATTATATGCTTTCTATAGATTTTCCAGAAAATGAATTCCGTCCTTGTATACTTGATTAAAAGACATAGAGGATATATATCATTCTATTTGTGTCTTTCCGTTGCACAGATACTCTAATGATAGAGAAGACTTACTGGCTTTATCACTAGGTACTGATTATCTCTTATACATCCTTTAGCTCAAAAATTTCTTTATTGAAGCAAAGATTAAGCATAGAAAAATTTAGATGAGTCTCCAAAAATTTCAATGGAAGATATCATGTGTGAAACTCATTATTCCGTAGTACTCTGAATTTTGTCTTCAGATTGACTTTTCTTTGAATGATAAAGTGGTTGAGACTGCGAAGAAACTTTTCCTTTGTGTGTTTGATTTCAGTGAAACGTTCTGCAATAAAATTGAATAATTAAATTAAACTCTGAGAATCGTAATTTATACTTTGTTGAAAAAGAATATGGCGTGAAGCTTGTAAGGGTTCGATGGCAAGGATCTGAAAACAAAAATAAGTTGCACATCTATACATTCAAAATTTCACCTATACGCATGTTCACAATAAAAAAAATGACAACAACTAGTAAATGTGATAACTTTTGGATTTTACATGCGTCCGTCCCACTATTCATAGATTAGAGAGTGTGTTCGTGTATTAAAAAGTACTTATTATTTTGTTCTACATGTTATTTTATAAGTAAATAGTTTGATGAAGCCGCCATCATTGTAATTATGCATTGCAAATAAATGATAGCATCTTATGTGGTAGACAAATAAACAAGGTTTGAATCACTTCGAAATCGTCAAAGAAAGAGAATTTTTTGCTTATTTTCCAACGACATAATTACATTGGTAGCCCCTAAATGTCATGGATACGTGTGACTAGTGATTTATCAAATAATATTTTTCTTTTCTATTCTCTAAATTTTCATAAGTGTAAAAGCAGGATGAAAAAAACGCATTCTCGCTCATGCTAGTATTTATAGCGTATTACAACGCTGAAAAAAGTCTGTAATAGAAAAAGAAAAAGAAAAAGAATGGCTTACTTTCTCTCATTATTCTTTATCTGTTAGAGTGTGGCTCATTTTTCATTTGTAACTTGGTCGCTTGCATTTACTCTTTAACAAATACTCAACGTTCTTGTCTTAATGTCTTGCCTTAATGAGTTCAATGAGGATTGGGATTATGATGATCCATCGAAATGGCATGAACGATTTCCTTCTGCTAGAGGCTACTGTCAATCGCCTATCAATATTAAATTGAGTCAAACCGTTATGCAAAATTATACACCATTCATATTTTCTCCCAAGTGTAAGAATCGACATTTATTTACACTGAAAAATGCTGATCATAAGCTTACTGTTACACTGGCTGAAAAGAATCATAGTACAGATCAAAAATCTCTATGGGTCACAGGCGGCGGCCTACCTGGTACGTTTCATTTCGTCAATTTTCATTTACACTGGGGTAAAGATGAGAGACACGGTTCCGAACATGAAATTAATGGATATCGATATCCAGCAGAAGCACATTTCATTTATAAGAATTTAGAAAATCAAGAAATGTCAATATTTGCATTCTTTTTGGATGCATCTGGCAGATTTGACGACGAAAATACGGAATGGAAAAAGTATGCTGACGCAACAAGTCTTTTGCAAAATAATGGTGACACATATGATTGTGCATTTAATTTAACTAATCTCATGCAAATTGAAAATAAAAAATTTATTCGTTACATTGGCAGCTTAACAACACCTCCATGTACTGAAGGTGTCATATGGACAATATTTTTGAATGTAATACCAATTACAGAACACAGTTTGAATTTACTCCGTAATAATGTTATGCGAGAATCTTGTAGACCAGCACAACCAATCAATGATCGAATCGTTTATCGAAATTTCGACAAGTTAAACATGCCGTAAACATTGAACTTATGTAGCTTTGTAGAAAAAATAATAACAAAACTACTTAATCTAATATATATAATATCTATTTCTTTACATTAGACTTATCAAAGTTGAATGTTATCTTGTAGTCATTTCTAACAATAAAAGAAAATGTTCAATATGGATACAATCTACAATTAGATCTACTTTATTGAGGATTCGACATAGGTAAATAGACAAGGACAACTCGTTTGTCTTAGTATCAACTGAAAATAATACGATTTAAAATCTGTCTGAGATTTTCTATAAGAAAATGATTTCAAGATTGCTGAATCAATATAATTAGTATGAAAGATACGAATTAATAGATTATTTTTGAATGTAACTGATTTCAACAATTACAAAGTCTATTTCTATTCAATCTTAAATAGATTCATACGCAATCTCAGTTCATGCAAACCTTCATATAAAGCGCTAGAAAACAGTGTTTGTAAGAAGTTTGAGGATGACGGTGTGAGAATGCAAAGGTGTAAGAGTGTGGATGTGGCTGACCGAAGACCGACAGCAACACACTCTCAAGTTTAGGTAAAATCGTTGAGCAAGTGAAAAAAACATTGGAAAATTTATTTCATTTTAATTCACTTATCGAAACACAATATAGGACCATGCATATCGATTAATCATTGGTACGATGAACTATTTATACTTCGTGTCAGAAACACATTAAGCATTTTTCTTATCCTTATATTTGAAGTTTTAGGTTTTTATTTTACAGTGATGCACATAGGTAGGAATATAAATTCAACCGATCATGGTATGCCATGATGAACCTAAATGAATATCAGGCTTTTTCTTGGTCCTCTTCTGAGTACACTCTTTAACAAAACGACTCATTGTAGAAAATTTCACAAATCTGTCGATGTTATGCATGCTTTAGAGTTTTATCAGAAAAGTAGTCAACTTCAACCGACCACTTCGTTTGCTTCATTTAATATTGATAATTTATGTATAAGATTTTCACATCAAGAAGCTATTAATGCTCTAGAACCTTTTCTTAGTTATTATGTGCCAGATCATTATATTCAAGGCATGATAATTGATAAAATTCTTCAACTTGTATCTTCTCGTTCTGGAAAAGCAATATTTCGTCCACAGTTACAAGTTATATCAACAGATTATTGGTGGTGCTTCTAGTTCTTCATTGATTATTCCATTAGCCTATGTCTATCTATTCTATTAACGACAAGATTTAATGAATGATTTCGTTAATAAAAATGAATTCTTTCTCAGATATACTCTATTGAAATAATGAAATCATAGAAATGATTCTATTTCTATTGACATACAGATTTTGAGACAAGATATTCATTACATGGGACAGATTCAGAGATCATCTTCGTACATTGCTTGTTATAACTAATTCACAATTTGCTCAATTGATATAGAATACTACTAATGTTGGATCAGCTATTCATTTTTGTGATATCAAACAAGGTCGTAATAATAGTCTTCTTCATACAAGTGCTTATCATGAACCTATGTTCGATGATGATATATAAACATCGTTTCTTGATGTAATTCAACTTCAAATATCTATATTGAAAACAGAATGATATGGTCCGAATGCTGAATCCTTTGATGATGAGAAAGATGAAATTAAGTTGATACTTCGTCGTCATAGCTTTCTTGATAATATCTTCAACCAAGGCCTGGGTGAATTTCTGGGAGACTTCGAAGTCGTCATCGTCTGTCCATCATTCATTCTATCTAGTTGTAAAATAATTTGTGAACTTATTTTCAGCTACAATAAATACCGCATTGCAAAGAAAAAACAATCAAAAGCACAGCAACAAGAAATCATATTGCGTCTTTCATACACGTCTGATTGAAATGAAACAGCAATATTTCATTCTTTTTCTCAACCATAGATGCAACACTGACAAAACATAATCTTTGGTATGTCTACATTGAAGAAAAGATCCACTATTGAACTTATGAGATTTTGTCGAACTTTACTATACCTTGTTAGGGTTTTATGAGAAAAATTGGAGGTTTTTATAATCTAAAAAGTTCCGTATTATATCTTCTAGAGATATCGTTGTCAAGAGGTTTCGCATCAAACTAAACTTTGTTTTTATCTCATCTATAACAAGAACACATGTTCACCAATGACGTAGTGAACTGATTTTACTCCATTCTTTCTTTTCTCTCTCGCTACAATCGGCTTCGAATAGTAAGTGACTACCGTCTGCCTTCATGTTTCCCAATGACAACTTTATTGTCGGGTATAGAACTAAGATATTAAGGACAAATATAAGAGGCAAAGAATAGAAATGAGGGGTTACGAATAAATATGAGGAGTTAAAAGTAGTTGTATGAAATTCGAAACATATTGGTATGCGTGGTTAGTTAGAATGGGACATGGTTAGAAACAGATAGACAGCTATAACTGCGCATTGAATAGTCAGATGGAAATATAGATAGATTAAATAGATGTTTAAGCATAGATGCATAAATGGAATAGTACTGTTTAGAACGTGGTAGGAAACTGATACATCGAAATCCTTTATGAAGCAATGAAAAAAAAGATCCGGACGAAACTTTTTTGGGTTTTGTATGATGCTTATTTTTTCCAGTATAGTGAATATCAAACTGATAAGTTCGATGCTATATAGATAACCATATCTTAGAAATCTCGATAGTTCTATCTACAATATTTGAAGTATCAAATGAACGAGCACAAAATAACAAATCGCTTTGATCGAATCGCGGCCAATAATCAAAACAATGGTTTATTTTCGAATTAACAATTTCGATTAATGAAAGAAGTAACAACTTAACAATTTCTTCCACCTGTTTATTCTTCCAAAAAGAATTTTTCTTCTTATTTAGCCAACAGACTTTCTACCTCCTTCTCAATTATTGCAAATAAACATGGAAGAAATGCATACCACTCTACTGAAGTGCCTTTGTATCTATCAATATAAAATGAATCTAAACGAAACTCCATTTTTCTTCTTCTACAAAGAAAACAATCTTCTATCGCAACTACATAATTCAATGCATAAAATAAAAATCTAAGTCTCAACAGTAGACACAAAAAATCACGAATAATGAAATTTCTGACTTATAAAGCTCACCTGAAACAATGTCAAAACATATCATATCGCTGTTTGAAATTTAGTGTAAACATAGATGACCTAGCCTTAGGAACGATATGCACTTTCAATCATTATTGCTCCAAAGGCAAAACACATCACGCGATCATACACTCTGTTTATTAAGAGAGGATCCATGACTCAATCGACCATTTAGAAGAATGTCCGTCATGAGAAAATTTTTGACATACCATTTTTATCGTTTCGAAAGAAAGTCTAAACAAAATTACCAATAAAAACAAAATTTTAGCCCAATTGGACGTAATCCTGAAAAATAAGAGACGACACACGGGGAGAGAGTGGGTTGAATACTCATATATCGAACAATTTTAGTATATTGATAATATCTCAAAAGATAGAGAATTGTTTTCTCTGCAAATCAGTGTATTTGAAACCTTCCTATATATTAATGCTTGTTCTCTGAAGTTAAATCAAGACCGAAATCGTGGACATTTGAATAGCTCATTTTTCATATATTTTGAGTGTTACACCTCAGAATCAAGTGGGACCAAAAGTTTTATTTCTGCTATCGATAGAGCTTGAAAAATGCTATCAGGTATACTCACTGAGAAGTTCCAATCTCTATGAAGAGGAAGTTTTTTGGGCCACAATGTAACAATTTATAGGCCTTTTTTTTTACTATTTTTCAGTTTCTTAAAATTCAGAACACCATGATGCAATCCAATGACAAAATAAATATCATATTCGTAATCAGCATCAAAAGCTGAGTCGAACAATATGTGCTTTTCTGAAAAAACTTTTTCGTCGAAATATCAGCCCTAAGGGAGTACAGGCGAAATTATTTGGAAAAAGTGCCTGAGGGGGAAGTAGGAGCGTGTTTTTTATGAAATTTGTTTGGATAAAAAATATACTTTGTTAGACTCAGTTTTTGATGCTGATTACGAATATGATATTTATTTTGTCATTGGATTGCATCGTGGTGTTCTGAATTGTAAGAAACTGAAAAATAGTAAAAAAAAAAACGCCGATAAATTGTTACATTGTGGCCCAAAAAAAGTAACTCTTCATAGAGATTGGAACTTCTCAGTGAGTATACCTGATAGCATTTTTTCAAGCTCTGTCGATAGCAGAAATAAAACTTCTGGTCCCACTTGATTCTGAGGCGTAACACTCAAAATATATGAAAAATGAGCTATTCAAATGTCCATGATTTTGGTTCTGATTTGACTTCAGAGAACAAGCATTAATATATAGGAAGGTCTTAAATACACTGATTTGTAGAGAAAACAATTCTCTATCTGTTGAGATATTACTCGACTCAATACGTTGAATATTTTCTGAAATACTGTCAAAATACTAAAATTGTTCGCTATATGGATATTCGACCTACCCCTCTCCGTATTTCATATTTCATTTTTCAGGATTATGTTCGATCGGGCTAAAATTTTGTTTTTATTGATAATTTTATTCAGGCTTTCTTTTGAAACGATAAAAAGGATATATGAAAAATTTTCTCATGGCGGGTATTCTCGACTGAACCGTGGACTCCCTTAATTGCATATATATGCAAACATCATAAACATCTTAATTTCCTCATTCTACTTTCACAAATAATTGTATTCTAGCTGTCTTTCAATAATTTCTGCTCTTTAGACAGATATTATTCTATACTTAACAGATATGGTTAAAACAATCAAATTTTAATACATGTTTACTTTCATTTATCTTCTCTATTAGTTAGGTATTGATAAGAATTCATCTAGAATGTATTGTTTTCATTGAGGAAAATGATTGTTTGTTTTTTTATTTTCATAAAGTTAGCTTCTATCTTGTTATTGTTATCTTTCTTTTTTTTTTGTTAGTACAGCTGTTTCATGTGAAATGTACGTTTTTGATTCACAAGCCTTCTTTTCATTTAAATTGTCATAAGATTATTTTGTATCATAGAAATATTATCATCGAAACACTTAAGTGTATCAATATGTGATGATGGATCATCTGTGCATGTTGCCTGAGAAGGCAGTGGAATTTTATTTGCTGTGATTTCAAATATTCCAAACATGTAATTAATAACAACCAAAATAATAATGATTAGAATCAACCAATAGAGTGGTAACCAATGACGTTGATATTTAGTTATGCGACGTTGAATTGATCGAACGTTGAACAAATTGAAATTAGATAATGTATTTTGAAATAGAATCCACCATCGATTTTGTCCTCTACTTCTTCGATGACGTCCTAAAACAGTGTATCAGTTTTTTAATGAATATTATTCCCAATTCGCTTATAAGCCTTCATTTAATAAAAATAGAAATCAATATACTTCGTTTGTTGCTAAGGGCGATTTTTATCCTTGGATTTTTTTTCTTCTGACTAACTGTTCGTTTTCCTTGTATATAAAAGGGAAACAAACAGATAGTCAGAAGAAAAAATTCAAGGAGAAAAGTCATCTTTAGCAACAAATGAAATATATTATTAATCCCTAATTTTTAGTAGATGAAAGCTTATAAGCGAATTGAGAAGAACGCTCATTAGATCTATTGACTGATTGACATTTCCTGCCAAACAAAACCTATTCACATAGGTCAAAATCGTTAATAGTTTGAATCGAAAAATAAATATAATACTAAATGCTATAATCTATTGCGTATTAAACCAATTTTAAAGACTTCAAATCTCAGTTAGCTTTCTAGCTTTACTGTAGCACTTTTTCAAGTAAAAGTGATATTGATTTCAAGCGATACTAAAAGAAGCAAGACCTATTATGGTCTTAGAGGACTATTCACTGGAAGACTCCCGATTTCAATAAAGCTATTCCTCCTTGCTGAGCTTATCGTTCCAGGTGCATAACTACATTTAAAAAAAAAAAGTCGAAATTCCAATACTTATTTTTTGTTGTGAAGCTGGAGACTTCCAAAAATATTCATACTCGTAATAATTATTATTACTTTTATTACTTATTAATAATGACGAGTAATAAATTATTACTGTAATAAAGTAATAACAAAATAAATACAATTCGACTTAAATAAGATAAATAGGTAGTGTATAAGACATATAAATGTTATTTATTGATCAAATATTATTTTGAAGACCTTTTCAGAAACGCTGAATATTTTGAAAAAAAAATGTAGTAAAGGATCCTATCCTATTGTAGTCGCTCATTCTTTGTCTATATTCTCGTTAGAATAGAATGAAAGATCTTTTCTATCACCTTCTAATAATTGCTATACACTCGTGTTATGATATAGTGATTTAATAAAAAAAGATAAAGTCAGATCTATAGAATATTGTCTTTCTTTATTAATCACATAGCATGACTTTTTTTTGGATTATGTAGCTTGCCCGCTGTTCTTTTATATACACATGTGCAAAATTGCGCTTTTACTCTAATTTATTTAAACCAAGAAATAGTTTTGAAATAAAGTTGAGATGTGTCCTTAAGAAAAAACTAAAACATAATACAAGTAATGTGCTTAAGGAATGAAAAGTAGTTAATAATGAAAATTGTATAAACAAGCATAAAGAGAAGCGCTTTTCGGCTAACATAAAACAGTCTTAATTACGCGATAAAATGAGCGCTCTAAATTTGGAAGAAGTATTATTTCAACCAATAGTAATCTCTACCATCGACTAGTTGTATTAATTCTTTCAATAATGCATAATTGTTGAGATCGATCAATGTTGAAAATTACAATCTTACATTTTCATAACACTTTAGTTTGAAAGCAGAAATTGAATCGATGATTAGAAGTTTTCTTACTGTCTTATTTGTATTGTATGCTTTTTGTTTATTACTTATTAATGCTAGTTGGTAATAATAACTATGTTTCTTTTGTATATCGTAGTACTTTTTAAATATGATTAATAAATATCAATCATAAATAATACAGTTATTAGTGATTACTTAGTACTAATACTGGTTAAAAGTTTATATGAAAATGTTTACGTTCTGTATTCCTTGATATTCTAATCAATTGGTGAAAATAGCGGTGAATCTTGTGCAATGACTATTATGTAAAAGTATTATAAAAGAATTTACATGCAAGCTCAAATTTATTCGTTCAGAACAAAATCAAAATCATGAATCTATTTTGCATTTACTTTGATCATTGTTTATGAAATTTTCATCATTTCGATTTCTTTATGAATTAGTATTTTGTACAGTGAAAATTGTAAATCAGAAAACGTCCTTTCTTATCTTGACTCCTATACCTCTTTTTAATCATAGAGCTACAACACCGGTAAATTATCTAACACTGACAACAACTCGAAAGCAAATAGAATAAAATTCTTTTGATAGCGAATTTTTTGACTACTGAATGTTCGAATAGCAAATGTGAAGCATTTTTGTTATGCATGATTGCATAATACAGAACAGATGCATGTTGTGCTATTTTTTCGATTTATATTTGTAAAAAAAATCGAATAATTTAGAGCGGAGAAACTTACTCTGACTTCAAACTTTTGTCTAATAATACAACTAAAATGATTTGTTCTCATTATCAAAGTATGACTAACATCGTAACAACTTTGCATGCACATGTGCACACTCAAGCAATATATACGAAGCATAATACGATAAATAAAAGCAAACGAAAAGAAAATCGGTTATTCGTTATGCATATCAAAACAACATAAACCTACTTGTTGAATAAAATAACGAATGTCCTTGAGAAAATGAGTAAAGATTGTTTGTTTTGACTTGATAAAGAGTGGATGAGCAGCGGGACGTACTTTTGTACTGTTTGCTGAGTTTTTGTGGTGACATCTTTGCTAAGAATTATGCAGCTGACTCCCTTATTGAGCAGAAAAATGAAAAGAAAACGACAATGTATATGCGATCAGTATTACCTGTATGATGAGTCACTTAATTTTAACACAATAGGAAGAAAAAAAATATATTTTCTAGAATGACATCTATTTCACGTTTGAATGAAAATTCAAATTTCGCCAGATATATATCCAGTGGTTCAATGTCAGAATAAAAAATAACGTAGACAGTTTTTCATTAGCTGCAGTGATTTTCATGAGACATTTATAATTTGTTTTCAGCACTACATATCACTTTACGATGCCAGTTTTTTTCTTCTCTGTTAATAACTATATGAGATAACTTGACTGAAATATCATAACAACAAGATACGATAAGCAGTTTTTCACTTGATCTTCCTAACCTTGAGCAGAGCACGACTCCATATTTCATTATTATTTAGCCCACATTGTTAAAAGAGATTTAAAATTTTAATATTTTATTAATCATGATTCTCATGTAGTCCAATTCAAAAGTTACTCGTGTTTAGAGCTGAAAATGATCATTCACTAAGGAACCATGTTTATTATATTCACAGAGATCAACTCTATATCTTGATCATGAAAGGTCACTAACGATGATTTTCTTCTACTGTTTTCAAAAAGATGCCTGCAAAGAAGATTCTACTAATCACATAGTTCTTTTCGTTACAGACATAATTTCAGTGCATAATTCCATAGAGATCGCTCATTAAGCTTCAGTGTAGCAGTCTTTAAATGGCTACCAAAGATAGTCGAAGTCTGAATAGAAAAAAATAAAAAATAAATGATTATGCCGTTTTTATTGAATAAAGTGAACACGTCCTTTGATTGTCATTCGACAGTATTTTCTTTTGCCCTTATATCTTCATAGGGAAAACAGATGTCAACAAATTCATGATATTTTCTCTGCTAAATCACACACAGCGTTGAAATATTTATGATTATACCAATGGTTAAGTGTCTGGATAGGAGATAAATCGTTTGTTCTTCTGTTGTTTTATGCACTCGTTCTATTATTTCTCTTCTCTTTTGTGTTCAGGTGCGAGTTCTTTTAACCTAATATATATATATAGATATTTTTTCTCAAAATCAGGATTTTCTTTTTGAATTAAAAAAATAAAGTAGAAGGAGAGCGTGGCAACGAGAATTCTAACTGGTGCACTAGCCGATTTATTGTTGAAGCATCATCACAATAAGTAATCGGATCCGATCGTCCAGAGGTATTATTGTTAAACATATTTCGCATATCAAATCCTCAGTATTATCAAAACAAGAAGTACAACAAAGATCAATAACACAATCAGTGAGCTTTCATCCGATCTATCTTTTACACGAAAAATGGCATTGTCATATTCAGATCAGTCAACAACAGCAAATGATATTTCAGAGGAGACCAAAAACAATCAAGAAGAAAACCCAACATTGAAATCAAAGAGTTTACAATATAAAGAAGAGAATGCATCATTTAATGAACAAATCGGAAATTCATTAACAATTCCGCATGTAAATCAACATCCAATGTCGCAATCAGCTTTGTTTCCTGAAAAATCTCAGTCATCAATAATTACCGAACCTCATCCAGTTGGGCAGTGGCTATCAATGAATTCTGCTCTAAACCGTTGACACCACACGATATGAAAACAATACGACACCCATCACCATCATTTACAGTCGATGTCCCCAATAAGAACAGACTTTTCAGAGGTGTCAGTAATTTGCTTTTTTACTGATCAAATTTTTAAAATTATAAAGTTTTTTTAACATTTCTGGGCGTAGAAAAGTTTGCTGCGTCGAATGATGTAAAAATTATTTTATTATCTCGTAAATTAAGCCTATAATTAGCGGTATTTTACGAGTAATTAAATTTGTTCTTATTAGGGTCGCTGTTTCTAATAAGAACAGGCCATATAAAATATATGGAAAAAAAATTTTTTTAGTAAACGAACTTTTTCTAATTTGAACTTGAAAATATCGATATATTCCTGAGACAACAAATTTTTGTTATTAATCATGGAGTTAAGATTTCAAGGTTCAGATTTTTTTGATTTATAATAACAGAGTTATTAAATTTTAAAAAATAACTCGTCTGTTCTTGTTAGGAACACTGAGCCCAATAAGAACAACCAGCGAAAAAATGTTCCTAATAAGAACGACCTATATAAATTACACAGAAAAAAAATGTTTTTTAGTNTCTTTCGATTGACGAAAACCGCAGATCGCTAGCTATTGCGGTTGTCGAGTTATTGAGCTTACACCCACCCCTATTTAATTCTGGCGCCGACAATAGTTGACTAATGAGAGTGGGAGACTGAACTTATGTGAGAGAACGGAGAACAGATTGTTTCCAATCAGTGGATGCAGTATTAGTACGATAGAGTGGTCAGCACCATTCAAAAGAGTCATCGTTAATCCTTTCATTACAAAGTTCGTATATATACGGGTTGAAGTTATACATAGATTGTAATCTTGTAACCTCCTTTTTTTGCCTGTAGCATAAAGTTGTTCTCATTCTCTTAAAGTGCAAGCATCACTGCGTTATCACATGGTACAAGTTTGCACGAATATTAAGGTACAAATACGGAAGTTTAGACTCGAAAAATGATGAGAATCCATAAGAGCTTTCTAGTATAAAGTTTTGGAATTCATAAAATTAAAAGCATTTGCGTAAAATTACATATAGAATTTCAAATTTGTTGTGCTCCATTGGACTATGACTATTACTAAGGTTGTAGTCATATAGACGGTCGTACTTTAGACTTCATTTGATCTATATGATGATATGAAATTCCAAAGTTTTCCATGAAACTATCTGCAGGGTTTCACTGGTTGCTGTCTCACTCTAGTCCAGTGTGTAACTAAACAATCTTATAGAGTTCTATGGCGCTTCATGGAATTCACAGTTTTCCTAGACGTGTATACTGTCTTTCAGGCTTTTATCAAAAATTTAAAATCTTCCCATTCTGTCAGAAAAATCCCATAACGAAAGGGTTAAGAAACTGGAAAATACCACGGAAAAGAGTATCGTTAGACCAGTGACTAATCGTGCAAGCGCATTTCTGTACGCGAAGTAAAATTCGATGTAGACGTTCTGTTGATTCACCAGATAACCTGGGTAAAGATAATGTGGGGCGTGGGAGGTAGAACTCTAGCGTTCGTCGATTGGAGAGTTAGTTGTTGGGATGTGTATGGAATAGAGGTAGATGTACCGATGAATGGGTTCAATGGAGGTTGTCCAGGTGTATCGTTATTGAATCGAGTGTGTGGAGATGAAAGATGGTGCAATGGTGGAGAAAGAGTTGTACGACAAGCAGTGAAAAGAATTTTTAATTCAAGTAAACCAGTGCTAAGAGATTGCATGTTGTCGGACACTTGTGTTCATAGGTTATTCTTCGTGACGAGAAGAGTTGTAAGATTCGTATTAGAAGTACGGAGTTCTTATTGAATATCGGCACGAAGTGTGTCAGTTCGAGTGTTAAGTTGTGACTGAAGGGAATCTATCGTTTGTCGAAGCCGACAAATACAATCTGCGTGGTTCGCCAAGATGGAAGAGATATGTTTGACAGCATGTTCAATAGGAACTTTAGATACAGCTACAGTATTCAGTAAGCTAGAGTAGAGAGGAAGTTAAGAGATAAAACTTCGACTAAGGAAGAGTAGTTTAGAGTATCAAAGTCGCCAAATATAACAGGTTTTTGAAAAAATAAGTACTAATTCGGCTGAAGTTATGCTTCATTTCCTTTATTCATATCATCAATCGCTTCTCTTTTTCATACGTCAACATGTGTTTTTATCCGCCACCAAGAACGATATAAAAAAAAAGAGGAAAGAAAGAGTCAATGAAAGAGAGGTGGTTACTGATACATAGTTACGTCAAATAGAAAAACAAAGGATGTGATACGAAGAAATGAAACATGAAGGTTAAACATCATATATGAACAGTCAATTCATTGAATAGTGATTACCACTTTTGTATTTAATATTAATTTCGCATTTATTCAATATCATCAATGAATACATAACATGTTTTCCATGTTGACTTGAATTTATATTGCTATAATAATCTTTTTACTATGAACATGTCCTACTACACTGTTTTATTAACATCTATTATTCGATAGTTTTTGAAAAACTTAACTATAATTTGTAAATTTTCTGAAATTAGTGTGTTCGTGTCATAGCAAAAGGTTGAATAATTAAATTTTAGAATTCGAACATTCTTTTTGTAAGAACATATTGAAACAAATGTTAACAAAACAGTAGTGAGAGATATTCATGATATAAAATTCATTATACGATATAAATTGAATTAAAGATGGAAAAAACGTTGTGTTTGATTTTATGATATAAAAAAAATGCAAAATTTTTGCGGAACTCAGGTTTATTTTCGAAGAAAATAATAATGAGTCAGAAATCTTTCTGAGACTTCCTAGAATTTTCCAAAACAGTCTATCTATCAAAGATTTCTACTGCAGATTCTAACTAGTCTAAATATTATGCGCTTTGGTATTTAATATAGCGAAAGGATCTCATTGTAGATGTCAATCGGTAGAGTAGTGATATTATTGATTTAGTAGTTGCCGCTTTCTATGGCATATATTGTTTGAACTATTATTAGAAAAGAACGAGTTATGTAATAAAGATGTAGTTGACAATACAAATGAATTTTTCTAGTATGAAAAATTTTAATGAATCAAATCAATTAGTAGAACAGTAATTTTCTTTAAATAAATTATTTCAACCTCTCTAGCAGTACGCTATAAACTTATAGCAGTCACAGTTTATGAATTTCACATTTTGGTCTCTCATGGGGCCACACTGACAAGTTTTCTATTAGAAACAAACATGATAGTCTTTAAAAACTATCGATAAACTTTGCTGTTGACAATAAAAACTTACAGTTTTCCTCTTTAAAATAAAAATAATAGCATTGGATTGATCTTAATTGATATTGGAGTTGTGTATGTATTTAAAAGATGATAATGATTTTTCTGACATTATGTAATAATGATTTGATAAGAAAGATTGATAAATTACATCAAAAAACAAAACATAGGACTTCAATTTCAATAAGAATTTTATCAATTTATATTGTTTATTTCCTCAGATTGATGAAGTCTTTACATTTTCACTTAATTTTATTGATATATAAAATGCATATAATCAATATTAATGATTGCATGTAAAAGAGATTATCATGGAACATATAGATTTTATAAATATAAACAACGATGATCATTACAAGGAATATGTATGAATATCAACTATACGAAAGAGATTATAAAAAAGTTGAAACAATCTATTTTTCTGTCGTATCAACATGTACATGATTGAAATATTACTTTTCTATACTATTCTTTGGTTAATACTTGAATCGAAATTTTGAACATTCATCTGTTATTCAATGAACGACTTTGTCTTTCAATGAAAATTCGGTAAATTATGATTGATAAAAGAAAAAAAGTGAAATCCCTGATATATCTAACAAGATTTAGATAAGCTATATTATTAAATATGAATTTTAGAATACTTACTGTTATGTTCTTTGTTTAAAAACCTATTGTTCACTGGAACAATGACCCTCTAAAAAGAAAACAGAAATAATATTTAAATGCAATCTGTTGTTTTCTTCAGAAATAAATTTCGAAAGTGGTCTTCTTAATCCTTGTATACATATAGATACAGAAAGATTAATATAGTATGTCTTATAGAGAATGATGCGATATAAGTAGAAGATATTAAATAAGCGTTTTGCATCTTTAGTCAGAGTTGTAAATCTTTCTACATTTTTTTTCTTCCAGTACCTTTTATTACTTCTACAAAAAAAAGTGTCAAACTAAATTTTTCACTTTCATATACCTTGAATGTTGTTTTTTTGTGCATTTTAAATTTATGTCATTCAGTCAAGAAATTCTATGAATGCAATGAATCGAAAATACTGTAGCATGTTGTCTTGTGAAACGCAATCTAAAAAGATTGTTGAAGTATAGAGTTACAAATTCAGATCCCTCCAATACAGATCTCATATCAATAACATCTCGTTCTAATATATGAACTACTTCCTAATTGCATTTATGAAAGATTAAGTAAACCAATGATGAAGAAATGTGCTCCAAAACCGATAGAATAAGACAATTTCTCTATGATTAGCAACAGCATCTATATCATATTTCATATTTTAATCTTACAGGGATTGCGTTAACAGCTTTTTGTTAAATTCAATTGAATTATAGGAGGAGAACGTAGAATTATTAAGGTTCTATATGAATTGAAAAACTTACTGTTAAAATTAATGAGACTATTTGTAATCGAAAAATATATAAATATATTCATTAATTTTAAATGGCAGTATGGACAATTTCTTCTATGCACCTTGATTGCTGATGTCATCATCTGTTGTTTAAAATAATAACATCAATAGTCAGTATTTCATTTTTCCTTTCCACAAAGATTAATGTTTGTTGATTTGAGATTTGACTAGAATTCCACTTAAATTATACTTTGTCATTTTTCTATACCGAAGAATTGAGTGAAAAATCCACTTTTTTGTAACATACACAGTTGAGAGTAAATTATATACCTAAAAATTATCAATCAAGTAAGTCAATATAAGATTATATGAGGCG